GATAGGATTATAAAATGGGAAAAGTCATGAAGTTCTCCAGTATATTTCAAGTTGATAAATATGACTGAAACTAACTGAATTCTTAGCTACTTAGAGGCTTAAATTTGTAGAGAATACAGTTAGTGCACTTATGAACTACAGTTGAGTGCGTATGTTATATGTATAATCTGCGTGCTCGGCCCTGTGTTGGATATGAATCAATGTCCCTTTTTTAAATACAGCATCCTCAAATCAACTTATATGTACTCAAGTCATAGAACCAACTCCATGTTGTAATATAGTAAGTATTTAAGGCAAGCAGGAACACTTTATAAAATCCTAGTTTTCCATTTTGGCTAGAGGTTTGGGGTTGGACAAGGCAAAGCTTGCACACCGTCCAGCATTACTGATGAGAAGGTTGAAGTCGAGTCTTCGTTGTATTTCAAACTACTGAGTAACTTTGAAAATATCACTTCCCACGTGTGGGGCTTGGTCTCCTCATCTGAAACGGTTGTACTAGCTGATCTCTGGAAAGGATGGGTCAGCAATTACAAGAGACTTGCAAACAAAAGGAGCCTGGCGCTCATGCTTACACTGTTGCTCCTGGCTCTGGGAGGCTGAGGGAGGCGGAAGGCAAGTTCGAGCTGAACTTGGGTAACTCAGCACGTGAGTAAGGCCTTGCCTCAAGAAAACACAAAGGGCCGGGGATCTAGCTCAATAAGGCCCTGTGTTCAATCCCCACAAATAAATAAATAAATAAAATGCCTGCTCCTGTTTTCTAACTGTTTATGCCTTTAAGTGAAACTTAGTTTCTCTTCACAGTCAAACCTCCAGTCCCTGCTCCCCCAGGTTAGGAAATCTCCTCTTTCACACATAAATTTCCTTTAAAAGTTTTTTGAAGAAGAACTTGCAAGGTATAAGCAGCTGCCCTATGGCCCACTCTGGACTGGCTCTCCGGATTGGCTGCTGCGCCCTTCCCTTCCTCAGACCCCAGGCTTATGTTTCTTCTCTCAGTCCAGGAGAGACGACCCTCATAGTTGTCATCTGCAGAGGCGCGCTTGTTCTAAACAATTCTTCCATGGCAAGACTGCTCTCCCAGTGCAGGGCACTCGGTGTGCTCGGCCCCCACTCACTAAATGCTAAAAACAACCCCAAATCATGTGACAATGACAGCATCGGCACCCCTCCTCCTTTCAAGGCACCTCCATTAACAGTAGTACCATTGCTGATTGAGAAACCTGTTAAACAGTGTCAATGTAAACTCTGGCCCTGAAAAGTTGTTTCTGAAACCTGTCTCTGTGTCTTTGCCAGAAGTGATGAAGGCCAAGCACAAACCTTTCAACAGAGAGGACGAAAGAGTACACAGTGCTTACGAGTCCATTGCTCATAGTTTCTCAGAAGAACTGAGCTCCCTGCCTCTGTAATAGCTGGGGAAACTGAAATTCAAACAAGTTTCCGAAGGTCACTCATTGAGTAATAGGCTGCATTGACTCTATAAATAGAATCATTAAGAAGCAAGCGTCTTAGTCCAGCTTAGCATGTGCACCATGATGTAATTGTTCATCATTTATTGATTACTTGCAATGGACCAGCACTTTACAAATCTCATTTATCCTTTCAACAGCTGTAGAAACAAGTATTGGTAGCCCTCACACATTTTAGAAAAGTGATGCTTAGAGAAGGGAAGTAGTTTGACCAAGCTCTCACAGCTAAAGTGGCCGAGCTGTGGGTCAAACTTAAGTTCATGGAGCTGACAAGCTCAAGTTCATGAGTGCTCAGTGCCTTGGCTGATAGCCTGGTGTTTTTCAGTCCACCTTCCTTTCAAGTGGCAGGAAAGGTGACTGCAGTCCCTAACTTCAAACCTCGTGATGGTAGTGACACTAAAAACAATTATTTTTCACTGTGTTCTGCAAGAGATGTTATTTTTCAATATTGCTAGGACAACTCTCAGCAGGGTCACCTCATTAGCTGAAGAAAATGTCCCCTGTTGTTCCAAAAGAGATGGATTAGATGGACAAGCATAAAAACAAACACTGGAAAGTGATTCTGTGCTCCCGTCGTTTAGGGGATGGAACAGTAATCCCGTTCTCTGAATCCCAGCAGTCTAAGCGATATTTTACTTCCAATTGCAGAAGTGTTTTGAAAGAGATGGAAAAGTTTTATAGAGTTGCCTTCCAAAACTCTTTATCAGTGTTTCCATAACAGTAAATTGGGGTGTTGAGCTATTAGTGAATACACTTATTACTGGTCTGCTTTAAATTTTCCCATGTAGGAAAGGAACAGTTTGGCTAGACTGGTCCTAATTGGCTATGAGGAATAACTAACAGTGAGTTTTTTTGTGTTTTTACTTTAGCACAACCTGGAATGTAAACACTTCATCAAGTATATTGATATACTCATTACTGGGCATCTCCCAAGCCAGAAATCATCATAAAATCCCACTTTGCATGTTTTGAAATTTATTTTCTATTTTTTTAAAAGTGCTTTTTTTTCAAAATTAGATTCAGTCACAGAACTAGCATTTTACTGGAATAAAATCAAAACTGCTCTATGAGCCATCAGGCCTACATGATTTGGGGGCTGCCCACCTCCCTGACCCCACTTTGCCCCACACATCCTGCTCCTCCCACTCTGCTCTTATATGAGGACGTTGGCACATTGAATCATTCCTGCCTCCTGATCTTTGCCTGGATGACTCCTCATCATAGCTGCTCAGCTCAAATTTTATCTGAGAAAAAACTCTTCCCTAATTCTGTGGGTTGGCCATCCTGATATCTCCAATAATACTACATTTTAAAATTTATATTTAAAAGGACTTGTTGAGTATTTTGAATTATCTGGTACTTTGTTTACTGACATTTTATGTGAAAATATAATGTAAGTGCCCTGGATGCAGGAAAGTGTCTCCCATGGCTAGAACAAAGCCTAGACTTCAATAGGGCTCAGGGTATTGGTTGAAAGAATGGGAAAGTGAATTCTGATTCTGTGGCTGTAATTAAATATGTCTCAGAAAAACAAATCTTATGACGCTCCAGTGGCACAATCAGTTAGTGCGCGGTACTTATAGAAAAACAAATCTTAGCCATATTTCAAAATATTGAGAAACTTTGAAAATACCACTTCTCACTTTTGGATAATCTAAATAAGAGGAAGCATAAATTAAAATCAAATTTACAAAATTCCTTCCCATTATTCTTTGCTCTGCCTGTCAAGAACAGGAATTCTACAGTGAGGATGGAATTTCAGCCCATGGTTTTTGCCTCTGGACAGAAGCGTCTCTTTCTAAGCTCTGCTCTTCTGCTTAATCACATAGGTCCACGTCCTTACCAAGATTTTCCAGGTGAACAGCAGAACATTTCCAAGTATCCCATTTCATGCTCCGTTTCTTGCTCTCTCTCTCTCTCTCAGCTGTAAAAATAAGTCTCTAACATTTCTCTCCTTCACGTCGCCGTTTCCAAAGGGTGGCATCCTTATCTGCTCTCCCGCTAACACTGAACTTGTTTTGTCATAAATCCTTGGGTTTCTAAAATAAAGCCTGTATGTGTCCCAGATGTCCTTTTACTGAGTTCACAGAATACAAATGGAAAAAGGTTATTACCAGACAGAGATGTTTAAAAATGAAAATCAAACCTAATACATGGACTCAGACAACCACGATAAGGAATATAATATTTATAAAACTGAGTAGAAGGTTGCAATCTTTGCTCTAAAATAAAGCATTAAAAATTAATTCAGAGCAAACCTATCTGTGCTGTAGCAAACCTCTCTTTCATTAAAGTAGCCCTGTGCGTCTCCCCAGAATTAGTTCCCCAAATAGGTAAATAGCTTGTAAGGACCAAATGTTCTGCAGGCTGCAGAACAGCTACCTGGGCCTGATTCAGAGTTGCTTTTACTGGAAAAGGCTTAAAGACCTTTCATTTTTGAGCCCATTAATTGTCATTTTTGCAGTCTTCCTATATTTTTTCCCCTAAGTATTATTAGGATGTTTGCTTTGTGTTCCCCCTCATTTGATTAATCTGAATGGCACTACATTATTTGATTAATTCACACTCTGCACAATTTTAACCCCTGGGGAACTGTGGGTGCCAGTTATAAGTTACACGTGAAATGTGCTCCCAGATTTTATTTCAAAAACTTTGTTTTTCCCTTTTTAAGTGTTTTCTCTTGTCTTCATCCACATCGTATTATTAGCATTATTAGTATTGTTTCCTACTTCAGAACACACTAGCAAGAAAACTTACAGTATCACTTCTTTGTTTTCACTTCAGATGAGGTTATTATTTTTGTCCAGTTTACAGCATTCTTCTGAATCCCTAAAATAAATAACCTTATGCCCTCTCGCCCCTATTGATTTTTGAATGATTTCGAATAAAAAACATCCAGTTTCCATTGCACTGACAAACTGCTCAGCCCCTTGGGCAATCCTTATTGGATTCCTATGAAATGAAAGGGACAAGAAACAACAGAAAATCCAAAAAGTGGATTTGAACAGGAGGGGGCGGGGAAAGGTGGTCGCAGCTCAGCGCAGTAAATGGGTATTTAACCTTTGACCAGTGATGACAGGTCTTCTTTATTTCTATTAGCCCAAGAGCAAGCTGTTATGATTAAATAAGAAAGAAAAAACTGTTTAGAATCTTGCCGAGTATGTCCTGGGAATTAAAGCATATGGCAGGGATAAGGAAAAAAGATTTTCCTTATGCTAATGACCCTTGATGTCTGAAATAAATTAGATCCATTAGAGTTTATGCTCAATAAAAGAAAGACTTTAAGCACTCCAAAGTTAGTGACTCGAGACCAGTTTTTGCTCTGAAATTCAATCTGCCTACTTATTAATTCTTAGTGAGGCTCCAGCGTAGACAGGGATACAAAAAAATCATAACTCTGTACTGAACCAGAATGTTAAAGGGCCACACGTTTCTTTCCCTTTTCTTTTAATTAAACCATTTTTCATGCTTCCCATTTTGTTTCCTGCATTAATTTGATTTTGTTCCCATTTTTGTTTCATTTTTTTTCTTTTCAAGGTTTCATTTATCCTATTTCAACTGAACAGAGAACCCAGAATGAATATGGATTTTCTTGTAAGTTTGATGTCTGGATTTTATGTTGCTGAATAATCATTTAACATTATTGCCCCCAGTTTCAGTTTGCCTTTCTTTGGATCACAGATGTGTACACAGAAAATAGGAGCCTAATATATTCTAACATGAAAAACAAATTAGATTTCCAATGCTGGAGAGAGAAAGGGTCATTCCAAGCCTCTGCCAGCTTTCCAGTCCATCAGTCTACCATTTAAAGCTTGAGCCCAGGAACTCAGAAAACATTCATGAAATTTGCTGATGGAAATAAAGGGCAGGGTTCAAATGCTGAAAAGGAAAAGGTTGAGAAAATGCATATATCTTGTGCTAGAAATCATGGATGTTGAATAAGTAATTATGGCCTGCGGAAGTAAAACATTAGGAATTTACATATAATGTTCTGACCGGACTTTAGAATTCTGTGGCAGAACCTCAAGTAAAACCCAGCAGTAGCAAAGAGAGTCAGCCCTTGGAAAACCATACTCTCACAACCAAGAGTATTTGGGATGTCACTATCTTCTGGAAAAAATAAACCGATGTTGACTTCATTAATGGGAAAGTGGATATTTTCAAAACTTTGGGAAGGACAATATTTTTTAAAAGAACCACAATCCTTTCACAATACATTTAAACACAATGTGCTGAAAGAGATGAAGCAATTTCCAACAGGAAATTCGTTTATACTTCCAGCCTGTGGAAGCCACCATGACATCAGCCTGTGAATTATCACATGTGCCAATGGCAACTAAAACAATGAGTTATTTCCTCAAATCAACCAGGTGACTGTGAGACTAAAGAGAGAGGGCATGGGTTCTTCACATTTTAGGTCACAGGACCTATGCATTTGAAAATTCTCCCTACCCAAAAATACTTATGCATATAAAATTGACCATAAAATTTGAGGTGGTTCTTGACCACCTGAAGAACCAAAGTGACCCTCTCTCTTGCAAAGAGCAGAGTAGCTTTGGTTATCTTTGCCAAAGTCTTTTGTGGGTCAGAGAATATGGCAGGCAGAGGCTTACTGCTGGCAAAGTGGTTCTGCGAGGGTTTAATTTTGTCACTGATATTTTTAATTACCAGTTCTCTTGCCTTTTCCTGTTGGATCAAAGCATGCTCCATGCCACCAAGGAAACAGGCAGCATTTATAGAAATTCTTTCCTTCTTTTACCCAGAAATAGGCCCACAGTGGACTACACCATGTGTTGGTCAAAGCTCACTCAGCTTCTGGGGTAATCTGACTTTTTTGGTTACTGATCCAGGCCTTTACCTGCCATAGTATATTCTACACTCTAGAGCTATCAGTATTCCAGGAACGAGAAGCTCAAATGTAACTCTCTCACAAGGGCCCATAAAAAGCTCAATGTCCTTCGAGGTGATATTGTGTCTGTACCAAAAGTCTGGACTTTGAGAACATCATGGCCTTAACCTCTGACCCCCAACCTGGGCCATCAGAAAGCACACCTCTTTGGTCCAGTGTTTGCTGTTAGTATTTGCTTTGCTTAGTTACACTGTTCCCACCCACCCGTGCACTGAGTTAGGAGAAAGCAAGAAGAGAGGTAGGGAAAGTAATTTTATGACCTGGAATGATACTTAGGAAAATATTCTGGTTCAATAAATATATGGACTGAGAACATGCCATGTATTTCTAATGGTGTTTATGTTTTTTAAATAACTATCAGTGAATTAAAAAACTGTTCTAAACTTTTTCACCTGAAAGGAGTAATAAATTTATTTTTTCTCTGTGGGTTGGGATGGTTTTAGCTCTGATTTCTTTATATGCTGTAATAAATGGTCTGTTATGCTGCCCAATTATAAGATAGATTAGTGGGTGGATTGATGCAGAGTGAGAAAGAAAAAGAAATCAGAGATAATTTTCCACTGAAAGGCCACAGTCATTTTATATAGCTTTCGAAATAGATTTGAAATTAACCTATAAAAAAGGCAATAAACGTCTGAAAAAATTATAGCAATACATATGTGCACTGTGGGAAATTTCTATAAGTAGTTGGTCCAATGTTTCTTTCTTCCCCTCTAGCTGCTCCTGACTCAGATGACGTGGCTCTCTATGTCGGGATCGTGATCGCAGTGCTAGTGTGCCTGGCGATCTCTGTTGTCGTGGCCCTGTTCGTGTATCGCAAGAATCACCGGGACTTTGAGTCCGATATTATTGACTCTTCAGCACTCAATGGGGGCTTCCAGCCTGTGAACATCAAGGCAGCCAGACAAGGTCAGTAGGCATTCCGCTCCGCAGCCTGCTCCTTGTGTGAGCAGTTTCCCTGTCCTCAAAACTGGTGACATTTGCATCATCCAGTTCAGCTAGAATGTAAGCTCAATGAAGACAGCAGTTTTCATTGACTTCTCTCATTACTGGGTTGGTGTCAGTCCACAAAACAAATTGGAACGGACCAGGTTATCCCTTTCTGACAGTGTTCTCTGTCCTACTTTTTAACTTCCATCTTTGAGAAAGGCATCAATTTATTGACTGACTCCCTGGGTTCTTTGTCCTCCTTTTCTGACAAGTTGTCTTGTATCGCTTTAAATGCAGTGGTTTACAGATGAACCAAATCCAGTACAGACAAGGGAAACTCTTACCAAACAGTGACCTCCTTGTGGGGCTTAGTGTCCAATACTATCTGCTGAAATAGCTCAATAACTTCAATGTGATGAGGAGCTTCCAAGCTAAACACAGAATGAGCTGGGCCACTTGAAAATGTCCCATAATAATACAGCTGCTGGTCACCTGTCTGCCATGATTTTAGCAGAGCCTAGTCTCCACACCTCCAGTATTAGCTGAGTGCTTTGCTTTTGGTTCAGAGTGGGTGGGGAGTCTGACTAATGCAGGTCTCCTGAGTGGAGAACTCAGATGGAATTCTTTTCTCTTTCTGACTCAGACCTCCTGGCGGTGCCCCCAGACCTCACATCAGCGGCCGCCATGTACAGGGGACCTGTCTACGCCCTGCATGATGTCTCTGACAAAATCCCAATGACCAATTCTCCAATTCTCGATCCACTGCCCAACCTGAAAATCAAAGTGTACAATACCTCGGGCGCTGTCACTCCCCAAGATGACCTCTCTGAGTTTACGTCCAAGCTGTCCCCCCAGATGACACAGTCTTTGCTGGAGAATGAGGCTCTCAACCTGAAGAACCAGAGCCTCGCCAGGCAGACGGATCCATCCTGTACAGCATTTGGCACCTTCAACTCCCTCGGGGGTCACCTGATTGTCCCCAACTCAGGTAATCATGGAGGTTCAAATGACGCAGCTTGAAACTGTACTCTTTGTGCTCAGTCTTGTTTTCATTAGACCTAAAAAGTTACGCACAGCCTATCTAAGCCGAATCTGCTTTCAGCATAAATCAAATATTTCTTCAGACAAAATCAGCAAAGCCATTTATCTTTCCCAACCAATTCTGCAAACACTTCCTCTAGAAATATTTTATTCACAACTTTCAGCTGAGCTATAGTTTAGAACTGTCATTGACCTTCTTTTTCTAGTAGAACTTCCAAAGGCACCATCAAGCCAGGGGCCCTAGCTGCAGTCCCTATACCTTAAAATGACGATTAATTAGAAAACATAAGGATTGGTCCAGTTTCAGTTTACTAAAGGAAGAAAAGTTCTGAATATTAGTTTTCAGATGATCAGACACATCAAAATAAACTTAGTATCTTCATTCATTAACTTCACTCCAGAGTTTTTATCCATAAGGTATTTATAAAACATTCACTCAAGGGGCTGGGGATTTAGCTCAGCGGCACAGCACCTGCCTGGCAAGCGCAAGGTCATGAGTTTGATTCCTGGTACCAGAAAAAAAAAAAAAAATTCACTCAGACCTCTGATATACCCAGCTATAATCCCCACCCCATAGATGTCCTTTTCAGGTATTATTTAGTTTGTAGCTTGCTATGTAGTTTTATTTGCACCTAGAGATAAAGCCATGTAGAGGTCTTTCATGGTGAGCTTCATGTAGTGACTGGCAATGTTGGGGTAAAGATCAGTAATCATTCATCAATAGTAGCAATGGGCGTGCAGTCTTGGGTCATTAGAGGGCTAATAGCTTCCTTTCTGAATCTACCTTCGTTCTTTTGGGCAAAGCTGTGAATTTTTAAATACAGTAATGGAAAGCAACTTCGTCAACCTAATGTGTTAATGTCATAGCAAAAAAATACAGTGAAATAATATACAGACCATGGATCTCCAGGCCTGAATATGAAACCTTCACTGGTTTTTTTGTTTTTGTTTTTGTTTTTTTGGTACCAGGAGCCGAACTCATGACCTTGTGCTTGCCAGGCAGGCTCTTTGCCGCTGAGCTATGTCCCCCGCCCCATGGTTCTTATTCAGTCCCTCAGTTCAAGCCTGGGAAGCATTTCACCCCACACCTTTAAAAAGATAGTTTAATAAAATTGGAATATTAAACAGAATTCCATTTTTCCTTTTTCTGTACATTTTTACACAGGTAAACTTGTAAAACTTCACCTTTTTCTCATTAATTCTTGAGCTATGCTATTTGCATGTTTTTAAAATCGTGACATGGAAGTATACTTATAATAGTGCACCAAATGACTACATCAAACATTCTGTTGTTCTTCCATTAAACGCTGTAATTATTTCTAAGGCACTTCTTTTCCCTGTGGTACTCAGGGCAGTCTGCTTTTCCTTTCTCTTTTCTACACCAGCCACTTTTTCATATGTGGTATTATAAGGGTTTCTTAAGTGAAAGAAAGGAAGCAAACATGTTTCAAATTCTTAATACGGAAGAGGCACAGTGGCGATCAACTACACTATTTCACTTACAAGAGTAACAAGAGTTACCAGTGTATGCGAAGCATTATTCTTTTTACACCTGTGATGTGTTCATCCCTTTAACAAAGATGAAGGTACATTTCATGATTCCACAGTGGGAAAAATCCTGCTGAGTCTCGGCGGCCTCATGCGTGGTCTCCCTGCTCCCACTACGTGCTCTCCCTAGACCATTTGGAAGGGGAACTCGATATTTCACTTCCCACAGCACCACAGCCCTAGGGCTACCTTCCTTCTCCAGAAGGCCCAGCCTCCGTGTCCTCGAACAGCTCTGTGAGGACCTGTGAGCAGCACCTCCCCTTATCTCTCCATTTTTCCATTCTTGAGCTCGCTCAACATAGTCAGGCAAGTGTTCTTGCTGCATCCCGCTCACTCAGCATATTCCACTTTCTTGCTGATTGTGTTATATGTTTCTCAGGACAAGAAACATGTCAGAAACAGGAAACATATCCTTTACTTCTTGGCATGCATGGCAGTGCCGAGCACAGTGCTCACAGTCATTTTTATTACTCTGGATTTCTATGGCACTGGATTCAACTGAATTCCATGGGAATAAAATGGTGGAGCAAACATCTTCAGAGTGCTGGCCACCCGAGTCACTCCTTGTGACAGTGACCAGTAATGCACGCCAGTGGTTGTTACAGAGTGGGTCCCAAACTACCATCCGGGCATCACCTGGCAACTTATTAGGACAACAAATTTTCCCACTCACCCCCAGACCTTCTGAATCAGGGACTCTGGGTCAGACTTCCACAAGCCCTGCAGGTGCTCCTGATGAAAACTCAGGTTTTCAAACACTGCTGTTAGGCAGTTAGCATAGAGTGCAGCTCCGTCTCTGTGCCATCCTAAAGCATGCCAATTAGTGACTAAGTAGTAACCAACTAAAATGAGACTATCAGCTGTTAACTTCCTAGAAGTCTGGGTTATAAAAGCAGCTCCTCACCAGTTCGTATTCTATTGCAGAATAACAGTGATGCTAACCTGGTATTTCAGAAATAAAGTTGTTTGTTTTTTGTTTGTTTGTTTGTTTGTTTTTTGATAGGCTGGAGTTAGCGTTTCCCTAACTCTGTGAATCCTGTGGGGATTTTTTTTTGTAATTAGAAACAATGCATCATTATAGCTGTTTGAAATTTTAATAGCAGTTTTTGGTTTCCCCCTTGTTTTACAAGGAAAACAACAGTGGAACCATCTGTCTTGTTCCTTAAATAAAACAAGAGTTTAAAAAATTACCTCATTCCTTTAAGTAATTCCATAACAGCCCAGAGCAAGCTGTGGTAACAAGTAAGGCCCAGGAGGAAGGACGGCAGGGCAGCTATGAATATTTACATGTCTTTAGAGAAAACAAGGCAGGCTTAGGGTTACATGCTCACAGAAAAGTCATCTCATTCCCTGTGGCTGCTGCAAAGGCATTCCCAAAGTTTCCTTTTGATTCATAGGTCTTACAAGGCTGCTTTTCTCTTTGCTGTTCAGGAGTGAGCTTGCTGATTCCTGCGGGGGCCATTCCCCAAGGGAGAGTCTACGAAATGTACGTGACGGTGCACAGGAAAGAAACGATGAGGTAAATATGTTTGCTCTGATGCACTTGACGGTCTAAATGTCTGACTTGGAGAACTGTACACTAGAAATAAGCACATATTTTTAAAATATACAGGGACTGACATTTTTTCCCTAGGAGTATAAAAGGTCAAGTTTTATTTCTCTTTATCTTCGACACTTCAGACACTTTTGCAGATCTTTAGCATGAATGGAATGACAAAGACTCTGTTTCTGAATAGACATGTGGTCATTTTAGGGAGCAAAAAACAGCCCAAATCCACAGACTGTCCAGAGAGATATGTGGATCAACACAGACCTTGACTATCTGTGGCCTGGCTCAAGAATCTAGCCTGTTCCCATTACAAGGTTAAAGGTCAGAGGAATTGGACACCTCTCAACCCCTGCCCTGCTCCTCCTGCTTCAGTCCAGCCCAGGCTCTTACCCACAGATTCTTCCTTCTGTAATTCTCCGGGCGGAATTGTTGCCAACTTCCTGCTTATGTTTAGCACTTACCAGTTCCATAGTGAGGCCTTTCAAAATGGGCCTACAGTTGATTAAAACTAGATCAGCTCAAAAGGCTCTGTTTTAACTGTGTCATAATCAGAAAGATGAAGTTATTTTAAGTAAAAAATAACGAGGCATTTAAAAGTCCTAAATTCAGTTTTCTGTTTGGTCTCTGACAAGTCGTAGGCTTCTTTCCTGATTAGTTCCCACATCAAGTGTGCATGCATGTGGTGAACACTGCTTCAGAAGTGTGACTGCTGAGTGCTTCTGAAGAACGCTGAGGTCTTCAAATAAAAGACACTGTGGACATGGAGATCCTCATCCAGTACTGGTCCTTGCCTTCTCTGAGGGGAAAGGCATTGCTCCCCCTCCCTGAGCACAGAGTACAAAGCGTGAGGGGCAAATGTAGAACTGGGTTATCATTATCGTGCATTATTCCTTTTCCCTTTCCTGCTCTCATCCTCAGAAAAGCATCCATTTTTAGTCTTGTTCTTCGTAGCTGAAAAGCTCTTTTATCACGCACTCAGGTAGAGATATTGGTATTTATAATTGGTGTGACCCAGAACATTTTTTCCTTAGGTGTTGTACTTTCACCTACACAAACAATAGCAAGACTAAGAGAATAACAAAATTCCTTAAGCATTATTCATACCTTAAACTTGAACAATCGAGAATCACTAACAGGCTTGTATTTACACACATCAAATATTCATTTTTTTTCACTTCCAATGCAAAGCAACTTTCACAGACCCTCAGAGCTCCCCAAATTTTTAGCAGGAGAAAAGATTAGCAGACTTACAGAGCTCTTTATTTTATTTTATTTTTGTCTAGAGTCAAGGTTAGCATTGAATCCACCTATCCATCAAGGCCTTTGCCAACAAGGACATTTAGTTTATTTTATTCATTTATTTATCTTTGGACATTTAGTTTAAAGAGAAGCGGGCATTGCCTTGTGCTTTTTGTGGAGCAGGGAGGCGCTCATGGTGTCCTGCTTTCCTGGAATGGTCAGGGTCTGCGGCTCAAGATGCAGCCTTCAGAGTGTGCGATCGAAACGGAGGGCTGTGCCACAGCTCCACGCGCATAGTGCAATTGGCTTCCTAACCAGGATAATTGCACTTTCAGATGAAGGAAAGAAATAACAGTAAATTGATAAAGCTAGACACTTGCGTTTTTAGGTTCCACTGCCTTTGACTAGGAAGCAAAGGAAATGATAAATCGCTTCTTGATCTGCCTACCACCTGAAGCCAGGTGCCCAGGGCGGTGCTGTATTGAATTTGGTGTGCATCAAAGAACTTCTGTTTATAAAAATGAAGCTGGAGAAAGCTTGAGATCTCTAAAGGAAATATGTACCCAAGACCATAACACAAGGAACAAACACAAGACACAACAGACTCACCTAAATAAGAAGTCCTATCTCCACTAATTGTCTGTTGTGAACTACCTTTCTTATAAAGGTACATTTTTCTGAAGCACAAAGGCAAGAATGTGCTTTAGAGTTTGGAAATAATACAAAGTATTATCACCATTTATTCAGCATATTCTTCAATTCATTTATTCCTCAGTGCACCTCTGGAAGTTTGGATGAGCTCCACTTTAACAGTAAAGAAAGTAGGGCTAAGAAAATTAATGCACATAGTCAGGATTTCACAGCTAATGACTGAGGGAGGCAGAATTCAAACTCAGGTGCGCCTGACTCCAAGGCTTCTCTGGGTGGCAATCACCATCTCCTGCTGTGCAGACCAAGCCCCCATTTTCTCACTATTGTGCGTTTTGGACACACAGTTTATTGTTACTAGAGCCCTTTCCAATCTTCACAGGATTGGAGATGACACACCTTTTCTGGGAGAGCACAGGATGAGCATGTCAAGAGACATGGGTGTTACTTCAAGGCATTTGTAGGAAAATTCTGAGCAATTTCCTCCTCTCTGATTCTTCTCATTGTGTCCAAAACTGGGTATGTTTCCAGCTGGATGTCACCCAACAGTGACAATGTCACGTCATCTGCTGATGTGAATCAGCTAAAAGGAGGCATGAACTTAATTATACAAGGCATCGTGAGTGACAAGAGACCTCCTCATTCCTGGCCAGGCTCTCAGAGAAACCCCAGGGTAGCGCATAAGTAGCCCAGCTAAGCTGGAGGCGGGATGGGGCGCTTTCACCAGAGGGTTTCTTGCTCTGCTTCCTTGTCTCTGCAGACATATTCCCATGCAGGTTTGGGTGTGGTGAGAAACGAAACAGAATCAGACAGAACAAGGCAGATAGCAAAGGCCATGGCACACACACAGTGCCTAGCCTAGAGTGGCTAGTCAGTGACCATTTCTGAATGAAAGAATGAATATTTGTAAGGATAAATGAATCAAGCACAGTTTAAGAGTATCTCCAAACTCAAAGGTAAAGAGGTCTTCAAGATAGAGGAGGTAGCTGGCAGTGATGACACTGAAAAATATAAAGACAGAGGAAGAACAATAAAAAGTGTTGGATTTGTCAACTACAGGACATCAGTAGCCTTTGGGAAATTTTTATTGATGAAATTCTTCTTGATACAGCTAAGGTGAAAATTAATGATAAAATAAACTATAGTACAGATCTACTACATAGAAATAATGAAGCACATGTAACACATATTAGGATAAAGTAGAAAGCTAAAATGTCCTTAGGTATGTAACTGTATAGGAGATGTTTTTGTTTAACATGTTATTGTTTGGAATTTTGTAAGATAGTAGTTGACATTTCTCAGTGAAGCTCAGAGATATTTCCCCTTTTAAGTAGACATTCCTTTATTATTCATGAGTCCCAAGTTCCTTGGTTTGAAGAAGTCCCTATAAAAAAACTAAAGAGGCCAGAGCCCAGGTATATGTATGTAAATCTCATTCTCTCCTGATTCTAAGCCCTGTTTAGAAGTAGGATTTATTGAAAACCTACTTACAAAGAAGTGCTTCAAAATGGTTTATAAAAACAGGTTCCTTTTGATTGGAAGGGAAAAATTTAAACTTGTTTGAAAAAGAAAATGGAAAAAATAAGTTTATAAAAGATAAGGTGAAATCAAGTGAGCAATTAGAATGTGAAATGTTTGGTGTGACTCCCGGCATATTTTCCGGCAACAGATCATGAACTGACTCTTTCAGACTTGCAAAAGGGAGGTGGGGGAAGTTCGAGGAGCCACATTTTTATGAGGGAAAAAAATATGCCCAGAAAAGACTCGGTTGTTCTTATTTGCTTCTTATGAAGAGGACATTTTGTTAATATAAATTAACAACATTTTTAAAATAAAAATTACAGTGAGTTTCACCTGCTGGTATCCCTCGATGGAATTAGATTGTGTAAGGCCCAAGTGTACATTCAGTACAATAGTGCTGCAGGAGCACAATTCCATTCTATCCAGAGCACAATGCTCAGCTGCTCAGCTCAGTCCCGGGACAGACTTTGCTGTCTGGGTAAATGGTGGCATGCCCTTCAGAGTGGATTCCGTAAATATTTTTTTTGCTCAATTGAGCTTTTGATAGGCAGTGAGTCAGATATTCCCTGTCAAGTACCTAGAGTGCAAATATCTCAAGTTGCCAGTTATGTGGGACGGCATGTGCTGTAAAAGGCAGCTGAGACTAGGGTGGGGCTGTCCTGGGGGATCCGACAGAAGACATGCGCATCCACAGAAGGCATCCCATGTCACAGAAGGCACTGCAGAGCCAGATGGAGGCATATTCTCTTCAAAGGGTTTTGTTCTGTCAAAACAGCTACAAAGGCCCTAACCGAAACCCATGAAAGGCCATGGTGTAGAAGAAGCTAAATGACTTGTGACTGGAATCTAGCTTTGCTGATGACCAGCTCTGCATCCTTAGGCAAGTGTGTTAGGATCGCCAGATTTCAGTTTCCTCCTCTGGGAAAGAGGTGATGTGAATGCTTCCCCCACTGCCTTACAGGTATGCCACGAGCAACAAATACTTACATGGAGGTTTTGTAAATTATGGATTTTGGGGTGGAAGTTCCCTCACTGATAACAACAAACAAAGAATGACAGAATATCTCTGACAGGAAATAAGCTCTTCACAGGCTTTGTCCTGGAGAACTCAGAAGCCATCTAGCATTTACCATGATGTTGTGCTTGTTGGACTTTGAAAAGCCATTAAAATTTGGATCATTGTTCATTGCTGAATTTCTACTAAATTCTTCTATAGCTAATTTTTATCTGTGTTCATTTCTGTATTAAAGACAATATTTGCAGATTGTTTGGAAGCTTAGATAATGGAGATGTACAGAAAAATCTTTTGCAAAAATATGAATCAGACTCATTTATTTTGACTATTGTTTTACATATTTTTAATATCCTCTTATACTAAAAATAAGGAAATGTGGATTTAGAAACTGACCTTTCGTTTCATAGTTATGAAAAATCTTACCTAAATCAATCCTTCTACTTATGCTTGGAAATGCTTCCAATTTTATGCTATTTCTCTCATCTTAGAAGTATATAAGAGATTCTTTTTTCTGTTTTTCACCCCTGTTAAGAATTGATCTTCAGCAATTTCATATTGATTACATTCTGGCACCTCACTGGGTTCATAAATTCTTTTGACACTGTCTCCCCTCCTATCTCCCCACTGCCCTTGCTATCCCTGCTTCAAGAGTGGTGCCCCTCAATACTGCATGCCAGGGGTGAGCTGGAGACCTGCAGTCTGACAGCAGCCCCACCCCGCAGGGAGTCTTCTCTTTTCTGCTCCAGAGCCCGGCCACCTGACTTTCAGCACTGGCTGCTAACCACCAGACTGCAAGACAGATGTTTCCAATCCCCAAGATTGCAAGGGCCACTTGAAATGTATTCCACTTTAGTCTCCTTCCTTAAAAGTTTAATGCTAACTTCTCAAAGTACACTTGTGCCTAAAAGGTAATAGTAGTGCTCAGGAAAATGCAATCACTGTCATTTTTTTTTTTCCTCTCCTGGCAGGAAAAGTAGAATTAGGGAATAATGAAGTCACTGCTTCAGGCAGATAGTGTACTATTAACCATGACACAGTGAAAGCAAAACTTCATTCATGTTGGAAGAGCATGAATTTCAGACCAGATAGAGGAGGATAAACTAGGTTAAGGGGAAATGAAAACCAGGGTAGTAAAGTGGCTAGTCATGAGGTTTCAAGTTGCTACTGAGAACATGATGATCCCGAAACAGAAGTACATTTCCAAGTACCTAGAAAACTTCAGATTTAATAAAGGAGACTCTGTTGTTAGTCATAGTGAATGGAGACGATATTAAAAGACCAAAAGTAGGGAAAGCTTCTTTGGGGTTTCAAATAGGAAGCCCACTGGCTGGTGAGATAGTAATGCAGAGCTAGAAAAGCACCAGTGAGAGCCTGGGTATCACCAGGATGATAAACACCAAGCTCCACTTCAGTCTTTAGAACTGATCATTGTTGATCAGGAAAGCCCTAGGGTTTCACCTTGCTTGCCAGCTCTCCGCTTAGCTACTGGTTTTACGGCTGCCGACAGAGGACATGTCTCTTGGGTCAGAGACAAAGGACAGTTATTAGTCACAGCAGTAGCACTACCCAGAGTAGCATCATTTTTGTGGTAGTTTCCTGAGACTGAGTTCTCAAAAGGCGACACAAAGAGGGTCAGATGACATCTATGCATTTCAGTAAAGGCCTCTGCCCTAGGGAACCTGAGTCTTTGTGTGCTGAGAAGTAGACCTGCTGCCAGTTACTCCAAAGGCTGAGACTGACTTTATCTTCCAAGGCAACTGCTGTATAAGCAGCCTTGAACAGACAGTCAGAACATGCGGCCACATGAGAAATCAGGGAGAACTGTCTTCCAGCAGTGATAAAGATATTAATAGTTGCTATCATTTGCTGAGTGTTGAGTTAGGGTAGGCCATAGGTGCAAACTAACTTGTAGAGGATGTAATAAATAATAAACTACAATGCTAAAGAAAAATCAGTTGCAAGTGGGCACTGCAATTATGACAAAGTTGGTATATTCTTTCTTAATACGCATGTGAATAAGACACTAAGATGTCACCTGGATAGTGTACAATGGGTTTATGTTTAGTAGAACTAAACAACTCAAAAATAATGGCATTAGATGGGAAAGAAGTTTTAAGCACTGTTCTTGACAAGCTGTCTGTTCTTGCCTCACCCTTGCACCATGATGTTATCAGGGATTATAACAGGAGCATAAAAGGCAGGCATATCCGATTTATGGAGGATAACCACTACTTGGAGGGAAGGCAAGTATTAAGAAATTTACCCTGAACTTCCTGGAATTAAGGTAAAATTAAAAAGCTAGATGTAAATGTGCATACCTAGATTCAAAAGTTGCCATTACAGGCAGAACTACCTGGACTTAGCCTATCTTTCATGTTCAGAATATTTCAAATAGTTAGCTTTACCAAATTACTTGACCTCCTTGCATCTTCCTTGCCTTATTTTATAAAGGAGATATTTCACCATACTATCCACAACTTCTCTAACTGGTGCCTGCTAAATAATATTTTATTAGTCATGACTTGATTGCAAATAATCTCATGCAGCAATTTTGTGAGTCATGAATATACTACACATTCCAAATCAAAGGAAAAAGTATTCTCCTATAGTGTCTACTTGCATACTGGGTTCATTTCAAGATGCCCAAATTTAATTAGGGCATTGAAAAATGAGAAACTTCCACATGAAAATGAGAGATCTGAAAACCATGCTGTGCCAGGTGATATAGAAAAAGAAGTCAAGATGTTTGGTCTGTAATAAAGAAGATTTTAGAGATTTCATAACACTATCCAAATAAACGAAGTGGGCCAGAAAGCAGGTCAAAAAAGTATGTGAAGAGAAGTTTTAAGGAAGGCAGGTTGTCTTCTTGCCAGCTAAGGCTATTTTGTAAATTTGAGTGGATAATGGGGAGGCTCTTTGTAGCCAGGGACTGTAATTGAGGACATATCTAAGAAGCACTAATCAGACCCCAGTGTGTTGTAGCAAGGCTCTTGCTCTGGATGGAAGCCCAGCCCCATGACCCCCAAGGGCCCTTGTCAGTCTGAAGCCAGCTATCCTGCAAGGTACCTTGGATAGGGTCCTTGAGAAATACAAGTTTTAGTTCCAGCACTAACCAGCCTGTGTGAGTCAGGAGTTTCTTGGATAGGGTCCTTGAGAAATACGGGTTTTAGTTCCAGCACTAACCAACCTGTGTGAGTCAGGAGTTTCAGGCAATCTGCCCAACACTTTTGGGATGACTGCCTCACTTATTAACTGATGGGTTGGATCAATTTATCCACTTTCTTTTAGTTAATTTTTTTTTAAGTGAAAAGAATAAAAGGAGTTTTTAAAAATATACAAGAAAATAAGGAATTTGGATTTTTGAGGTTCTCTCTGCCCAGATTCTCTGAGTATGAAATATATAAGTCAAGAGATCTCATTTTGTTTCACGTGTTATAGAAATACAGTTCTATATTCTTTTGGTCATATTTAAAAGAATAAATCTGCTAACCTAGACTGAATTATTCCCACAAGTCATTTGGACTAAGTTTAGCTCTAGGGTGTCCTCATTCTGAAGTGATTTTTTTAAAAGTATTTTTCAGTGAGGTCCTAAAAACACAAAAGTATTTAAAACCCTGTGAGACCAATGGCAAGTATTAGCAGAAAAGCTGGTTATGTAACTTCATAAGAACTCGGTTCTTTCTCATTCTATTCGGAAAGTATCCTTCATGAATTCAGAGGAAGCTCCAAAGGCAGACCTATGTCTGAGGAAAGCAGATCAAAGAGATTCATTGTTATCATAGAGACCTCTGGTCCTGCAGGATCAAAGTCTTGGTATAAAGTGCATGTCTTCCCATTTATTTCTGCCTCAGCCCCCACCCTCAAAAAGAGCTCCAAGAGAAAATGATTTGAACTGTTTGTACAACGTTAGATCTCAGCTCTCAGTGAGTACATAACACGTCAGCTTTCTATGCCATGTCACTGAGACGGTTCCCTGCTCTCCCACTAGGCCACCCATGGAAGATGGTCAGACACTGCTGACCCCCGTGGTGAGCTGTGGACCCCCTGGAGCCCTGCTGACCCGCCCAGTTGTCCTCACCCTACATCACTGCGCAGACCCCAACACGGAGGACTGGAAGATCCAGCTCAAGAACCAGGCAACACAGGGCCAGTGGGAGGTGAGGGGCTTCTGGGCAGATAGAGGTGGGGTCCAGTGGAGGACTCATCGGAGGCCTTTACCTCTACAGCCAGACCTGGGGTGACTGTAGGTCCCACACCCCGGGAGAGGTGGGCAGACAGTCTGTTTCCTAAGTGCTTTATCTTTTGATTGACAGGCATGAAGAAAAAGATGGTCAAGCAAGAACTCACTCAGGGAAAATATACTCAAAAGTTTCAGACAAGTCCCTTCTGGAATATAGATACTATTTATTGGGAAGGGAGAGTTAGGAAGTTAGTTAGTCAGTTTGCAAGTAGAGAAACATTGCAGACAAATGGTTAGGAAGCAGTTCCTGTGAATTAGACTTAGGAACTTAACCTGGGAGAACAGAAAGGCCACGTGTCCAAAGTGCCACTAGAACGAGAACAGTCAGTGGCCCCTTGTCCCTGTATGGCTGTCACCAACATGTTAAGACCATGCATTAATGGGTTCTGTTCCTTACTTCAGAATTCTGCACTCAATACGTATATTGCAGGAATATGTCCATCAAGTAATATGAAGTAATTACAAAAACTATCATATGAATATAAATTTACATGAAAGTTTATACATGTAAAATCTGAAACTATATAGAGTATACATTATATATTTTCTAATTACTTATATTTTTCTTTTAGCAAAGAAATTTCTAAAGATATACATGAAAATTTAAACTCATAATATCTTAGGAAAATGTAAAGTTAGCTGAGTAGCAGGGCACCCTGGCATTAACCAGATTTTCCTTTCTGAGAACATCTGTTCCTCATGGCCATGTAAGGGGATCATTCCTTGCTGGAAGACCTAAAATCTAGATTATCTTTAAACTGAGTTACAACCAGACTTAACCAGATTCTACTTTAATTTCACTTAAGCTGTAAACTGTTCACATTAAAAAAAAAATCCAAAGCCTTATATTCAGTGACCTGGAAGTATGTGCAAGGTTCTCTGCCTGATACCCTAAGACTCTGGGGTTGAATAATAATAAGTAAAATGCTATCATAAACTAGAGATTCAAAGTTCTGGGGTGCGGCCACCCTGTTCTTGGCTGTATCTTCTTGGAGTCTCCATAACAAGCCTTTATGTGACCCTGAGGTTTGCCTTGTCCTAGTGGACAGCTCAGCTTCTTTGCAGGTGTCCTTCTGGGGCTGCAATAAACTCAGAGGCACTAAGCTTCTTTCTGTGTTTTCCTCCTTAGTGTGAGCTTTCAGCTGAACCTTGGGATACGGGTTCAGCTGAAAAACTGAGTTCACCCATACTGTTAGCGAATAAACCACCGCCTGAGCTAGCTACTTCTTTCATAGCTCTGCCCACGCCTGGAGACTGTGCTTTTTTTTTTTTTTTTTTTCCAAAAAGTCGTGGCTGGATGCTCACCTTGCACCAGGCCCGCGAGCTGCAATGGACAGCAGAGGAGACGTGGCTGCTGCGGCACAGAGATTAAACAGCCTGTGCAGAGAGTGAATCATGCTCGTGTGTGTGTACACTGTCTCCCCGATGTGAAATTATATTTTAAATCTGAATTAATGAAAAGTTGGAAGATTTTGCATAAACATCTGATCTCCCAGCTTCTTGTGGGAAATGCAAGGTCTCGCCCTCCTCCAGGCTGAGCAGGAGGCTCTTCGGAGAGGCAGGGCCTCTGCCCCGGGCTGCCACGCCTAGTCCCATGCTGCCCAACTGCTTCCCGGTTTTAGTTCCAGATCCTCTAGCAGGTAGTGAAGCTGGAGCTTTGGCCATGGTTTTATGGATTCTTCGCTTGCTCTTTCTGATTATTTATACATGATTTGTATTTATGTGGTTTGAGCCAGTTGGACAAATCAAACCTGATGGAATTAGTAACCTTTGTTTACCCTTCACTTCCACTTATTTTTGACATATATTTTAAAGCTTGAGAGTAGACTGATGGATTACATGAAGAAAGAGAAATGTACAGTAAAGACACAGAACTTACCATATCGTGCCTTTTGTAGAGTTGGCAAGCAAGATTATTCAGGAAGAGCAGTGTATTGCTTTGAGAAGTAACTGGCTGGTGAATTTTGGAGAACACACTAGTACAGCACCATAACGCCTTAATTTCTCTAATTCTCTTCAAATATGTGGATTTTTAGGGGGAAAGTGCTATCCTATAATACCACCAGAATAAAATATATCTTTTAAATTAAATAAGAAATGTAGAAATTAAAACTTTAAATCCTCAGGAACAGATAATAAGCTCAGTACATTAAAAAAAGGATAATTTATAAATGTTTAACTTTTCATGTAAGTTCTTGGATGATCAAGAGACACTAAATGGCATTGCATAAAGAACATTGTCAGTATGTAGGCAGTTATGGAAAGGGAATTAATGATTCAGGTTGGAAACAGAAGTATCCTAAAGTCTCAGAAAGGTATGAGAGCAGGACAATAGAACTCGGGAGAAGAGATCCTGCTCTAGCCGCACGTCCATGGCGGCCAGTGCGTGCTTGGTGGCTCAGTCCTGCTCTTGCCCTCTGATCCCCTAGGATGTGGTGGTGGTCGGAGAGGAAAACTTCACCACGCCCTGCTACATTCAGCTGGACGCAGAGGCCTGCCACGTCCTCATAGAGAACCTCAGCACCTATGCCCTGGTCGGCCAGGCCACCACCAAAGCAGCCGCGAAGCGCCTGAAGCTGGCCATCTTTGGTCCCCTGTGCTGCTCCTCGCTGGAGTACAGCATCCGAGTCTACTGTCTGGATGACACCCAGGACTCCTTGAAGGTAAGTGGCTCCCATCGGACCCAGCTCTGTACCTTCCCGTGGAAGTCAGCACCAGGCATGGCAGTGCGCACCTGGAGCTGCACCTGTGCGCAGCACCCAGGCGTGTGAACCTGGGTCTGGGCCCCCCAGTGGGTGTCGTTTAAAAACAGACATATCTCTGAGGCTATTCTGACATATGAGCTGTTTCCTTTATGCCAATTCCTCCCAAGGGCTACTTTTGTTTATATTCCTGGATTTCTTTTAATGAAAAATGTAGAAGAACTTGGCAGTGAGACCCGGGGATGGCAATTAATGTGCTTCCATGTTTATCTCAGCTGTGTTCTTCCTATAAAAGAAATTGGCGGAATTGCTCACGCTGTATGTTCCTCTTGTGTGCTACTTCATTTATATGCTTTCCCATTCTTTTTACGAGGGTTGTGAGGGAGAGGGTTAGCATTTGACAACAGGCTGCTGCTTTGCAGAATAAATGAGCTTAATTCCTAGTGCGATTATTACCATTCATTTTATCCCATTTGAAGCTTTAAGGGATGGAATAAGTGCTTTGAAGAAGTTATGACCGGGAAGGCGGGATAAGGGAAGTACGACAAGGATAAGGAGTAAGGCAGAGTGTGCTGAACGCCACAGCTGAGACATAGGTTCTACTGGAGTAGAGAGAGGCGTCATCAGAAATGGAGCTGATATTTGAGATTGGCCCTAATGGTGGCTTGAGTTTTGACTAGAAATAATAGAGAGGGAAAACTCCCAAGATTTCTAGGTGGAGGGACGGTGAACAGTAAATCAGGTCTCTGTGCAGGCATCTTAATTCTTAATGCCAGGATGCCTAGAGAGACTGGTTCCTGCGGTGGGGCGGCCCTGACTGTTGTTAGCAAGAGGGGTCAGATTCGCACACTGAGCTATGAGAGACTGGAGAGGTTTACAGGGAAGAAAGATGTGGCTGAAGTACAGATTAGAAATACCAGTCTGGCTTCAGGGGAAGAGTCAAGCTACTGAGAAGAGCATGGCAGAGCTGGGGAGCGAAGCAAAGTGAGAGGGAGGGAACCGGGGTAACCAGTCCTTTCAGGGAGTCCGCAGAGGGCCTGATGACCCACACCCAGTGGCTGGGGACAGATCCAAGTTCTGTCTCTAAGTAACGGCACAGGTAGCTTTGGATTGTGAGCCTTCGTCAGTGCGGGCTATGCTGACAGTTCCCAGGGGTGGATGGCTTAAATAGCACTCGTTCATTTCCCACCATTCCAGAAGTTGGAAGTCTGACATCCGGTGCCAGTGCGACTGGGTTTACGGGAGGGCCCTTTCCCACGGTGCGACCTGCCGGCCTCTCTTCGTGCCCTCACAAGGCAGAGGGCTGGAGAGCCCATTTCCAAAGACCCTCGTGCCTTCGCCAGAGCCCCGCCCTAATGGCCAAGGCCCCACCTCTTAATGCCCTTAAGTCGGGTGTCAGGAGGAGAGAACATGAACTTTGGGGATCATGAGCAGACCACCTATGACAGGGCTTTTTCTTTTAGACTACTGAATGAATGATGTAACTGAGGCACCCAGAGATGCCAGGGATAGTTAAAAATACAGGGGCAGCTTCGTAGCTGTTGACTGATCTCTCCCTGCCCTCTGCCCCCCAGCCACTTCTATTCTCCACTCCTAGGAGGTTGGCTTCTGAGACCCCACATGTGAGTGAGATCATGCAACATCTGTATTTTGGTGCTTGGCACCGTACTGCACCCCATAAGTTGTATAATTATTAGGAGGCAATTAAAGACAAAAATTTAAAAGTCATAGAAATGTTTCTCGAAAGCTAAGTAGGTGCGGCTTTCTGAACAGAGAGCAGATCCTGAGATAGGAGATCCAGGAAACAACAATGTTATGTTGATATTTGTCATCCAAGGTGATTGAAGAAAATATCAAAAGAGAATAGAGGAAAGAAATAGTAACAGCAATAGTCGATACTGCTGATAGTTTCCTCTGTGTCAGGTAAAATTCTAAATATTTCATATTAACTCATTTACTCCATACACAACCAGAGAAGATGTCACTATCCCCACCTGACAAACATGCAGTCCAGGGCATAGGTAGTAAGTTGCTCCAGGTCACAGAGCTGTTTGATGCAGAAAGCAGGCCGCGTGCCCTGGCAGCTGCCACCCTCAGTGACGGGACCAAGGAAGGAGCCAGGGCACTGTAAAAGGAGCAGAAGGAAGGTGAGTGCTATAGGAGAAGGAGGAAGAGAAGGAGGAAGAAAATGAGCCATGGATGCGCAGGGATGTGTTCTGTCCTATCACGCTGGTTCCTTCTGGAGCTGCCTTGGAGAGAGCTGTTCTGTCAGGAAAACTGAGTGCTGGAGGTCGGGTCCCCTGGGAAGCAAGATAAGAGCCGACTGTAGGGGACACAGAGAGACTCAGGGAGACACTCGAGGAGTCAGTTGCCATCATCCGCTCCTTGTGGTGGATTTGATGAGGGTGATTTCAGAGAAGGAATGAGCCCTGGCCAGTCACTGGACATGGTTTTGATGAGTGGGCCTGCAGGACGTCTTCATGTGGCACAGGTGCTGGGAGCACACAGCTCTGGTGTAAGGCTTCGGGTTATTTCTTTTATACTTTTTACAAATGTGATAGTTCTGAGGCACTGTCAGGATAAAAACCATGCTAGGCTTAAATTCTTAGGGAAAATTGTATTTGCAGGGGTGTCATGGGGTCTGATTAAAGCAAATCTTTTGAACAATTCCAAGAAAAAAATCATTGCAAGAAGCATATCATAGAAGACCTACATTGCCTCTGAAATGTTTGATATGCACATTTTATATTCACACACATAGTTACACTGAAGAACTCTTGACCTGTCTTCCCAAAGACACACACAGATCTATGCAAAAAACTAATATTTTATAAAATACTTTCATTATGTTAATTAGTGAGGGAGATGCAGGTGGCCACCATTGAGGAAGATCGGCGAACAGCTTTCAGCGTGAAAACTACCCAAGAGCAGGTTGCACTGTGGTCAACGCTTTCCAAATAGACATTTATGAATTCTCAGCATCTGGGGAGCCGGCACTTAGCCTGAAACAAACATGCATAATGGATGAGGCTTTCTTTCTTGCACCTCATGACCTTTTAATAATGCAGAAATACCAAAATCCTGGTCATACGTAAATGGGCTGTGAAACACATCGCGGAGAAAGTTCAGTCCCATCATCACGGCCTCATACTCAGCCTCAAGTTAGACCTGTGGGACTGATGTGCTCAGAAAGGCCCTTCCGTACCCAGACCTGCCTTCTTAACACCTTGCCTGCCAACTTGCTGCCAGTCTTTCTCCCATCACCTGCTTTTCTTGTTACCCTTCCCCATGGGTAGACTTTGGCATCATCCCTGCCAAGCCCCTCCTTTCCCTCCAGGGCCACACTACTCCTGCCTCAGGCGCTCCCTAAATATTCAGCACAAGCAGGAATTGGTTTGCGAACTTCAGGTCCCATCCATGTGTTCTGAAGTATTGAAGGGTTTTTTCCAAGGCTGCCTATGTTATTCTGTTGTGTAGTCAAGCTTAAAAATTATTAACCTAAACATTTTCATAATCTTTTTGGAACTTTGATTACTTTTCTCATTGCTGAGACAAAAATACCTGATACTCCCAGTTAGAGGAAAGGTTTCTTGTAGCTCACAAATTTAGAGGTTTCAGTCCATTGTTGGCTGGCTCCAAGGCAGGGTGGCATAGCAGAGGGGCATCTCAGAGGACAAATGGTTCATGGCAGGCAGAAGGCAGAAGAGCAGTGAAGAAGTAGCAGCAGGACTGCCTTCTTTCTCTACCTTTATATCCATCCAGGCTACCTGTCCTTTGGATGTTGCCACCTGCACCGAGAATGGGCCTTCCCATTATCTAAACCCAAAACTATGCCAGACCAATCAGTGGGCTAATCTAGTGCTCACACACCCTTGATCCCAGCATCACACATCCTAGATCCAGCTTCCTCTGAAAAGCCCACCTCTGACCACATGAGGCTTCATTGGTACATCTAGACACAGCCCGTAACACTACTAAAGACAAACTTTTCCACCCCCTCAAAGCACTCATCACTCCAACAGCTATAGTGATGACCACTCATCTAATGCAATGCTAGGCTAAGAAGAAAATTCTAATAGTTCTCACACCCAGTGACCACTTTGGGGTCATTCTTCCTTTCATCAGCTGGGTGTCTCACGTGTTGCTCATTACCTATTTCAGTTTCCTGAGCACAGACCTCTACACATCTCTGCCCAGAAGCTGCCTGTGGTCTTTCTTTCTACCCACTTCATTTGCCCATTCCCTAAGACTCAGCACCCCCACTTAGCTCACAGTTCCTTGGCTCACACGTGTTCTGGAGCCTTCACAGCAGCCACACTGTCTGTCACTCAGAACATGTATATCCTAGGTTTCAGCTTCATAAGCAACTGCTTCAAGGCCCAGATCTCCAGCTGCGATCATGCTCCCTCCCCCATTAATGACCACAGCTGTCTGATGTTCTGCCTCTGTCACTCAATGTGTGAGGATGCCATCCTGGGTTCCTAAGGAGAACTCCTCCCTCCGTCCCTGACCTCCTGGTTACAGACCTTGCTTTGCCTGCCCTGTGTCTCCAAGGAACTTCCTCCTCCCCTGAAGTCTCCTGCCATTGTATGCAGCAGCAGGCTTTACTGATTTCCATAGCTCATGGTGACCTCTGATGAACATGTTCTCTGCTTTCAGTTCCAAGCTATTGTTTTGCTATGAAAAGACCCATACAACAGTGATCGTGTCTGGAACTCTCTCAAGAGCAATGCCTCTCCTGCAGTGCACACCCTGCCTCCCTGCAGTCCATTTCCCACTTCCTGACTCATTATATTTCACACAGCAGTTCTCCCAGGTGTCTCCCTCTTCCCCAGAGTCCCTGGCTGCACCTCAGGCCCGCCTCATACTTAGCAATAATCTCACCTCTTGATGGAAGCGCCCTCAGATTCGGTCCTTTACACCTCCAAACCTTGGACTAAAGCCTCTTCTCACTTGTTCTA